GAAGGGAGTGGGAGGAGTCTGAAGGGAGTGGGAGGGACCCCAGGGGAGTGGGAGGGGCCAGCATTAAAGGGCCAGCACACCTTGAGCTCCTCGGGCAGGTCGCTGTAGTCGATCTCGATCAGGGCCTCCCGGGCGTAGAGGCTGGACGTGCGCTGGGAGCTGCTCACCGGCTCCTCCCCGGCCGGGCCGCCCTGGGATGGGGGGGACAAGGAGGGGGTCAGGGTGGTCCCCGAGCCCCCCGTGTCCCGTCCCCAGCCCCCCCGTCCTCCTCCCGGCCCCACCTCCTCCTGGCTGATATCGTCCATGGTGCCCTTGGAGAGGGGCAGCTTGATGTCCTGCATCTTGCAGGCCTGCAGCAGGTTGTGGCGGTCGCTGCGCTTCTGCTCCAGCTTCGTCTCGATGGCCGTCACCTCCTTCTGCAGGTGCGTCATCTCCCTGGGGGGGGAAGGGAGGGAGGCAGGCCCGGCTGGCCCCGCCCACGAGCCCCGCCCACAGAGCCCAAATCCCACCCATGCACCCCTAGCTGCACCCACAGCCCCTTTAGATCCCTCCACATCCCTTAGCCCCTCCCATGCCCATTAACCCCACCCACAAGCCCCCGAGCCCCTCCCATGTGCCCCATAGCTCCACCCACAAGACTAGCCCTGCCCACATGCACCACAGCTCCTCCCATCCACCTTAAGGCCCCACCCTAGCCCCACCCACCAGCCCAGTAGCTCCACCCACCTCCTTAAAGCCCTGCCCACCACCTGCCACTCATGCCAGCCCCACCAATCACATAACAAGCCCAGCCCACAACTCAGCTCTGCCCCCAAGGCCATGACTCCACCCCCATTCTTGGCCCTGCCCCCCAGGGCTGTGGCTCCACCCCTGCTTGCAAGCTCCACCCCCAGGGCTGTGGCTCCACCCCTGCTTGCAAACTCCACCCCCAGGGCTGTGGCTCCACCCCAAAGGGCTGTGGCTCCACCCCTGCTTGCAAGCTCCACCCCCAGGGCTGTGGCTCCACCCCTGCTTGCAAGCTCCACCCCCAGGGCTGTGGCTCCACCCCAGGGTTGTGGCTCCACCCCTCCTTGCAAGCTCCACCCCAGGGTTGTGGCTCCACCCCTCCTTGCAAGCTCCACCCCCAGGGCTGTGGCTCCTCCCCTGCATTTTGACCCCACCCCCATTTCTTGGCCCCACCCTGCACCCGTGACCCCACCCTTTCCTTA